CACATCTTAGTTCAAGTTTATGTGTTCAAGTTTAAGAAAATCAATTCTTCAATAAGAAAATGATAGAATGACACACCCACGCACCCCTCAAGGAATGTAAAAATATTGATCATCTTTTTCCATTTATATATAAGGGTTTGGTTATATATGGGTTTGTGTGTCTCACTGCTATCCAGTCAATGCCAGTTCATTGTGACTCTATAGGGCACAGTAGAACTACCCCTGTGAGTTTCCAAGTCTCTGTTACAGGGGTAGAAAGTCCGTCTTTCTCCTGCAGAGTTCTGGTGGTCTCTAACTGCAGTCTATGCAGATCACAGCCAACCAGGCCAGCAGGGTTAAGTTTCATGTGAAGAATGTTTTTTTCACATGGATTTCTGTTTCAAAGCAACCTCATGTGTAACTGGAGGAAGAGTTGTATTGTTCTGAGCCATCCTCATAATAATTGCTATATTTGAGTCTTTTATGAAATATCAAATATTGAATCCTATGCTTAAAGGGAAATATTAGTTTCAAAATATTTTAATGATGGTAATATTTCAGAAAAAAATGAAATATGCAAACTGGCTAAACTCTTCAATTACTTGTATGAGAATTATGCTCTAGTTTCACCCATGTTATAAAATGGTTCACAGACTCAGCATTCTATTTATATTTGCTTAGTATTTTATAGTTGCTTAATATACATTGTGTGTGTGTACCACAGCTTATTTATTCCTTCATCCATTGATGCTTCAGTTGTCTCCATTTATACATTGTGTGTGTGTACCACAGCTTATTTATTCTTTCATCCATTGATGCTTCAGTTGTCTCCATTTTTTGCCATTCTCTGTGAATAAAATGATAATGACTATAGATGTGCACATGTCTGTGTTTATATCACTCCTTTTATTTACGTCTCACAGGTGTATACTTAGATGTAGGATTGATGGATCGTAAGTAAGTTCTATTTATAATTTTACAGAAAACCAAACTGTTTCCACAGTGGCTGCAGTGGTTTATGTTTGCACCAGCAAAATCGTTCCGCTCTCCCAACATCCTCACCAGCATTTGCTATCGCCTTTTCTCGGTGCCATCTTAGGCACGGCTTCAAAAAAGAAAGGGAAAAACTCCACAAGGGAAATTCTACCCTGGAACCAGCATCCACTTGATGACAGTGTATTTTTTGAGTGAGATTTTAGCTGAATGAGATGTTATTTCAATGAAAGTTTGATTTGCTCAATGACGAACGTTTGTGAGCATCTGTTCACGTTTGTGTTGGCTGTTTGAATGTACTTCTGATGGAAGGTCCAGTTCATTCCTTTTTCCATTTTGAAATGGATTATTAGTGTTTTTATAGTTGAGTTGTTGAGATTTTATGCATATTTTATAGCTCATACTTTTATGGGCTGTGTCATTTGCTGTTTTATCCTTTTGATGGAGGAATTGCAGCACTTCCTGAGGAAGATTAAGGGTTGTAGCCTTCAGTATCGATTAGAACTAATTTTAAAGCAGACCAAAATCCTCACACCTGGAGCAATAGATAATATCATGATAAATGGCAAAAAGGTTGAAGTTGTCAAAGATTTTGTCTTACTTGGGTCCACAATCAATGCTCCTAAAAGCAGCAGTCAAGAGATCAAAATATACGTTTCATTAAGTAAATCTGGTGCACAAAACTTCTTTAGAGTATTGAGGAACAAGGATGTTTCTTTGAGGACTACGATGTGCCTAACTCAAGCCCTGGTATTCTCCACTACATCACATGCATATGTAAGTAGTACTTTGAACATGGAAAACCAAATAAGAATGGAGGCATTTCAATGGTGGTTCTGTAGGAGAATCTTGAAAGTACCATGGACGGCTCAAAGGACAAACTGAGCTACATTGGAAGAAGTAAGGCCAGAGTGCTCCCTAGAGGCAAAGATGGTAAGACTTCATCTTACACACTTTGGTCATACTGTCATACCAATTCCTGAAGAAGGAGATCATGTTTGGTAAACTGGAGGGGTGGAGATACACGAGGAAAGCCCTTAACAAGAGGGATTGACACCGTGGCTGCATCACTGGGTCAGGCATAGGAACAGTTGTGAGGATGGCACAGGATCGTGCAATGCTTCATTCAACTGTGCAGAGGGTCACTATGGGTTGGAGCCAACTCAATGGCACATAAACACAAGAATAACAACAGAAACACAAAAGATGAACTACTTAAAAATAAATATAACCAAAATAAAACAGAAGACCTGTGCAAAAAATTCTTTAGAGCATTATTACAAGAAACCAAAAGAAACACACACAAAATGGAAGAATATCTGGTGTTCATGTATAGAAAGACTTAGTATTCTGAAAACGTTAATACTACCTGTGTTCATCTACAGTTTCAGAACACTTCTGATGCAAATTTCAAATAGATTTCAACAAACTTCATATGGAGAGGGAAGAAGTCAAGGATAAGCAAAGAAC